ACCATCTTTAGAGGTCCTAGCACGCCATTTCTCGACCCGCTCTTTCGTTTGAGCTCAAAAAAACATTCATATCTTGTCTGACATCTTTGCTACAAACTCGGGTTTTCAACCATTACTACCATTACTTTTTCATTGAGGTCCAAAAATTGTCATTGAAAAAAAAAATAGTTCGCTTGTTTAATTCACATTTTATACAGTGGGTTGGGGAGAGATTCGGCTACCCCGAATTCGGTTCCCGATCGCCCTGGGGAAAATTCGTATCCAACCTGATCTGTCATGGTGGAGCCCCGACCCGATTTCTCTGCAGTAACGCGCTGTTTCTAGTCGCTGGTTTCAGCGAGGGCGAACTAGACATGGCGAATTTGACCGTAATCATAGGACATGTGCCAGCCGGAGCATCGTGGAAGCAGTTTGTCCACTTTGGTCAGGGCTTTATCAATCCAGGTAGTGATTCCAACGCGTTTTTTGTTTTCTTGCGCACAGAGAAAAAAAGTCTCCGGTTTCCAGAAGCGCGTAGTGATGCCGTCGAGACTAGTCGAGAATTATTTTGAAGAGATCATCACGGTCTGGAAAAACATCGAAAGTTTTAGAATCGTCGCAATCTCGAAAGACATTGGATCGGTACATCTCGTCACAATTCCGGGACGATTTATCTTGTCTGGAGCTCGAGATTTTCGGTTTTTTAAGTTCACCAGACGAGACGAGACAGATATCGAGACAAACATTTGAAAAACAGAAAATACTGAAACTCAGACGTGATTCTTCTAAGTTCGTGACGAGTTTCACGGTTCCAATGTCTTTCGAGATTACGACAATTTCTAAACTTCCGATGTTTTTTTAGACCGTGATGATCTTTCCAAAATAATTCTCGTCTATTCTAGACGGCATCACTAGAAGCACGTACAGTCGACTCTCCCTAGCTTTCCCGTTTCGGGGCTCAAGAATCCTCTTCTCCTACTTCCAATCCCGGTGGCTTTATCCTCTCACTCTCGTAGAGGCAAGTGCCAATGCTTCCCTAGGGCTCGAGATTCGAAGAACGGAGAGCTAGAGGTTGCCACTTCCCTACGCGCAAAGGGCGTGGTCAAGCGAGAGTACTATAGCCTTGTCCTAACACAAACTTCCCCTCTTGGGCTATTACCCGTGCGTGACGTAACATACGAGGGGGGAGGGCGATATTCCCCTCGCTCGGTGACGGCCGGGGAGCTAAGAAGCGTCGACTGTATTAAAATTCAGAAATTTGTGGTTATTGAAGACATGATTACTTTCAGTGAAAAAATCACTGAAATTCAGTAGCAAAAACGTACTACACTTGACTGCGATTTACGTACGGGAAAAATGAAATTTCAAGTTTTCGGTAGAATTCGAGGAAATTCATGAGTTTGCAGTGAAAGTGAAACGGAAATTTCACAATTTGATTGATTTTTTAATGGAACATGAATATTTGGAAACAAAATTTCATGAATTGAAGTACTGCATTCCAGAATCAAAGTGCCTTGATCTAAGTACCATGATTACTGAATTGCATTAAAAATGGCTGCGAACAAGAAATTTTTCTCTGATTCTCACAGAAACTTCTCCTAGAATAAGTAAAAATTTCAATGAAATCCACAATTTCTTCCTCTGTGGATCTGACATCTGGCATAATCATAATTTTTAATTACATTTAAATTTTGAATAAGTCAATTGCTAATACTACCCACCAATTTTTTGATTATTAAATTAACGACCAATTTAAATATTCAAACTCCGAATTATTCTATCAACCAATAATTGAGAAATTTAAATTACCTATTATTATACTATTTTCCAAATTTCAATGAAGATAAGTAGAAACTTAATTATTGTGAGGTGCAACTTTTCATAACATTACCAAAGTAATGATTGATGCCGACCTATGCTGTGGATTTCAGTGCTCTGAGGTATTCTGTGGTTACTGGAAACCTGGAACCTGTTTTTCTCTGTCTTCCTGCCCCCTAAAATACTGTACCATAATAATTGTACTTTGAAGGGCACTTTAGGGCATTCGATTACGGCGATAACAATCCCAAAAATCTGAGACTATATAATTCGATGGTACCCCCTGACTACCAGCTCGAAAGAATCAGTGCTCCAGTAGCGCTCTTCAGCAGTGATAACGACTGGTTGGCAACACCAGAGGTGAGTGACACCAATAGATTTTGATTACGATATTTGCGATTGTGAATAGTTTTTTATATTCAATCTTGATTTATCAATCACATGAAAATTTCCGTAGGATGTCAGTCGCCTGAGATCGAAACTGAGCAACGTTGTTATGGATTATAAAGCACCGAATACATTCAATCATTATGATTTCCTCTGGGGTAACTCGGCGCCACAGCTGCTTTTTGAACCTGTCCTCCGATTGCTGAGTCGATATCGATGATTGATTCATTTTAACCCACATCACACAGTTCAAATATTTGTATCTAGTCAGCACAATAAAATTCCAAAGCAGTTACATGTTTGCACGGTAGCATTTTTATATAATCAACTTTTGTGTAAGGACAAGAATCAGAACGATCAGTATTAAATTCGATTGATAAATAAACTGTAGTTTTGAAGATAAATGGCATTTTTGCTTCCGAATGGAAGCCCTGGAATCTTTGAAATCCGAGTTTACATTTTTTTTGTGTTAGGATAACTACTTTTAGGCACCGGGCCCTCATTTTTTAACTTCCCGATCCGAAGGAAAGAAGTTATTGTAATGACTCCGAAAATCGATTGTAGAAATTTCATGATTTCTCCAAGTTTCATGACCTCTAGAAACTCTCCCGACACTTTTGAGAGACCGGTCTGTATGTGTGCATGTGTGTGTGTGCGACCAAAATTTTGTGCTACGATTTCTCTCGAACAAACGATGCGATTCAATTTTTTTCACGCAATCGATGTGTTTTCATATAACTTAGAACTGATTAGATTCGGAACAACATCGCGTCAGCGGTTCTTTAAATTTTGCAATAAAACTTGTGAAAAAACATCGAAAAATGTCATTTTTTTACCCATAATGGGAGCGAGCGAGGCGAGCTACCAACAACCCAGTCGAATTTTTTAAATTTAGTTGTGCCACGATTATTTGAAAAAAAAATTGTCCAAATCGATTCAATTCGCATTTAAAATATCCATTTTATTGTTATCTCGGCCGAGTTTGAAGATGTCGCCGATCGCATAATTAATTCTCGAGTTGTAGCCGCAAGAAAGTCAAATCAGAAAACTAAATAAGGGTCAAAATTAAGGGTCACGAGGGCCAGAAATGAGAGCAAAAAATAAGGGTCAGGAATGAGGTTTAAAAATGAAGTTCAGAAATAAAATTCAGACTTAAGGATCAAAGTCAATGAGGATCCTGATCTCCGTCGGAATATCCACTCAACTGAGAAAAAAGTTTTTTTTAAGAAGTACGTCGTTACTCGTGTCAAGAAGTTCATGGGTCGAAAATTGACAAGAACAGAATTCCTCACATTGAGAAGAGAAACCTTTTGTCCAGAGATTTTGTACTTGTCCGAAAGATGAGGGGCAATTTGTTCACAGTAAGAAAACGACTTCTCGAACCAAGTCAAGGGGTTTTTTCCATTAAACTAGATTAATCCGCGCGCTCTGCACGCGTGTGTCCTACTCCATGGGGCTCAATGTATGTCAATTGCAGTAAATAGTGATATATTAGATTTCTAAAGTTAATATCAAGTTTTCCGAAGGAAAAGTTTCAGGAATGTATTGTATTCTTTTATATTAATACATCCAGTGTCACGTTTTTTTTTTATAAATGATGATAGCATACATTAAAGATATTACGATAATGCTATGTTATATTATATTCTATACTATACTATATTATATAAACTATGTGTAATATACAATACAGGGGAGGGTGAGATAAAATGGACACTTTTACCTTTTTTTTAAATGTTCATGACGTGTTGAATTGTTAATGAAATGGAATAATTTTATTTTTCAATAGAAAGAACAATAATTCCTCTTTGTAATGAGCTTAGGCTGAGCTCAATTGGGAAATCCGTTTCTGAGTTATGAATATTTTAAAAAAATTCAAAATTGTCCATTTCACCCCACCCGTCCCTATCATCGAGTACTATATGTATTATAAAATATAATGTAGATAATAAAACAAAATTAAATAATAAACTGATAACAATAATAACATACACTGAGTATACGATATTGCGTTATATTACATATACCATTATATATGCCTAATGTATTATAATATAGTATAATATAGAATGTAATATAACATGGCATTATCGTAATATCTTTAATGTATGTTATCATCATTTATAAAAAACCCAATGGTACAATACGCCTAATAGTTTGGCTTCAAAAAACGTTACACTGGATTTTTTATTAAAGGAGAATATTTTGCAGTTGTGACATAAAAACTATTGAATAAATTGATTCAACTAGAATTGATTTGATAATTCCCTTTCTTGCCATAAACAATTTGCCCTCGTCTGTGACCAATACGTCACAGGGACAAGTACAAAATCTCTTGATGAACGTTTCGTCTTTCTCAGTGTAAGGTATATTCTTCTTGTCAATTTTCGAGCCATGAGTTTCTTAATACAAGTGAAGACGTACTTATCAATAAACTTTTGATTGCTAATTGCTAATTCATTAGCAAAAATGCCCCATCCATTTGTAAACGAGAGCAGTTGGCCACTTGTTTGATCTAGAATGTCCTCTTTACTATTCAGTATCAACACTCAAGATCAAAACATGGAGTACATTCTCGTGTTGATATTGATTATGAAATTTTTCACCTCACATTGTCCTAATCAGTGATAAACGATTATTTTTGTCATCGATGGAATGTTGAGCGTTGTTAACAAGTTCGCGCGAAGTGGGATATCTCTATATTATTACCTGATCTTTTTTATAATCATAAATCTGTGGGAAAATTGGAAGCGATAAGAGAAATGCTGGTGCAAAACAAGCAGCCGCTCGTAATTCGTGAGATTTTATAAATGCTAACAACGTAGGTGATTAGATATGGAGATAAACGTACTTGTGTTAGATCAGGAATAAAAGCATTCGCGGGGGATCTTCTTTTCGGATAAGGGGAGTATTCGAGTGATTGTACGAATCATTACGAAGTATTCATATGACTTTGGTAGGATAGCTGAAGATGGATGAGCTTCTTCCATAGAAGTGAGATATGATCAATTAAGCTGAGATGATATCAATGGCGAAGCGGTCAAAAGATGCGCGTAGATTTTTCCAATTTAAAAATTAAATTTTTATTTAAATCGCCTTGTGAGATAATCACAATCATTTTTACGGTCCTCCTTGAAAAAATTGCATACTGATATGATTTGAATGATCTACACGGAGAGAAACGAGGGATAAAATTTATCTAGGAAATCGTGGCTCATTTTACTGTACGAAAGGTAATCGTGGAGTGAAATGTAATTCAATGAAAAAATACCTGTTTATTTGGCGCAGGGCATTTTAAGGATATTTTAGCACTGCACAGACAAAAATGTAGTGGAAATGACAAAATTTAGTGAAAAATGTAGGACAAAAGACGGATTTTTCTTTTTTTTTTGAGAAAGTTGTCTCCCTTTAAAATAACTTCAACAGAAATAGTAGTAGGGTATACGCACCAGTGTTCGAACTCGTCCAGTGATTGAACTAATTTATATATTTATCGTAGAACAAATACTCAATGCAGTGAAATGGGACTTTTGTCCTTTTTAAAAATCAATATGAATAATGAATAATCACTGTTAAAAACTTTCGTCTTAATTTTCCGTGCCAAATTCCGGAAATTTTTATCGTGTTCAAATTCCACTGAAATTTCTGGAAATCTTGTCATTGAACAATCAAATATTCCATTGATTTTCTGTTCAAATGATCCGGAAATCAATAAAATACTTGATTTTTCAGTTCAATTATTCTTTGGATATTCAAAAAAATCAGGAAAATTCAGGGAAAAATTGAAAATTCATGTAATTTTGTTTCTGAATATCCATGTTCCACTGAAATTCAATCAAGTTGTGAAATTTCCTTCTCACTCCCACTGAAAACTCATGAATTTTCGTCAATTCTACTTAAACCTTGGAATTTCATAACCATTTTTTCCCTTAATCCGATTCAATGTCACTCATGAGATTTAGGGGAGAGTCGAACAAAATGGGATATTTCCTAATCTTCTCTAATCGTCAATATCTTCACTTATAAATGAAGATATTGACAACTGGAAAAGATCTCAATACGTCCCATTCTGCCCGACCCTCCCCTGCTACACTACCATCTATGAAATTTCAAAAAATTTCTAACAGTGATGTTCATGAATTCCATGAGATCTGATGAAAATTTCCCATATTACTGAATCTTGGTCTTTCGATCATTGTTATTTGACGAATTTTATTCGTTCGAACACTGGACAGTTCACCTTATTTCTGAAAAATCTGATAAAAATTACATCCAGCAAGATGACGCATTTTAAACGAAGGAAACCATTCATTTGCAGCATTTCTATCCATTTCAAAAATTATTTTTGCTGCAAATTAATGAACTCACATACTTGTTTAAATGATAATGTCGCCATGCAGTCCTAATTTCTCCCTGGAATAATTTTCATTTATAGTTTCTGCGATATCAAATAAATAAACATTAATAAATTCTTCGCATTATTCTCACGAACTTCACTATCAATAGCGCGATTTCTCTATTTACTCTAGATTGATTGATTAATGTGTATCGAGCGATGACTATCGACCAACGCCTTAATTTTAGGAGCCACGCCTCCCACTCAGATATTATCATTGTAATTGTCCCAATTGTCAATATTTTCTAAAAAACACGTCACTTCCATTCGTGATCGATTATGTGCCCGTTGCGATTAAACGAAAATACCAGAGATTTGAATTACTTTATCTACTTGCTACTTCCAATTTTATTTCTGCATCAATCACACTGCAATCTTGTCATTTTTCCCTTATCAATAATACAGTGGGGATGAACCGTTCGGTTGATCACGCTGATTGGACGCTTGGCTAATCTCACCTTCAGGACGATTCAATTTTGATACGGTATCAATTGTATAAATAATAAGTTAACCCATTCCCGAAATCAGTCGACACATTTCCAATGACTATGGCAGGAGGAAACTCATTGGACGGAATGTTTGTTTTCACGTTGAGTCTTCTTGTGGCCCTGACCGGACTCAATGCCGCAAGGGTTGGAAATAATAAACTAACACCGAGAAGTAACACGGGGTATGATGAAGACGCACATCTTACTGCTGTAAGTAGCGCATTGTCTAGTAGAAATTTCACGGCGCAGAAACGCCGCAGCGTGACTTGGCGCGCGACATTTAATGTTATGGGTATACACTGATAGACTGATTCATTTATGCCAAACGAGATTCGTTAACTATTAACGAATGATAGAGTTGAATATGACCAAATGAATATTCGTTAATAGTTAACGAATGGTTCACTTGAAAAGTGAAAATCGAGTCCACCAAGGCTACTCAAATGTGCATTTGTTAACTATTAACGAATGAATATTTGGTGAGACCAAATAGACTCTCGTCTCCAGGGATCCCCATCAATATTGAATTTCTGTAATATTACAAGTTGACCCTTACATTAATGAAGGTTTAAAATATGTTGATCCAATTTTTCAAATACTATGATGTTAATAATCTGATTTTTTTACGAATAATGATGTATTTAAAATTTGTTAATTGTAAATTTACTACTAAATGAATAATTCAAATTTCTTAAAAGAGGATTATCGATTACAGAAGTAATCATCAATCTTCGTACCTCAATTATTGATTGACGAAATAGTTGAAAATTTGAATATTTGAATTGATGATACTTAAGTACTCAAAAAATTCAAGAGTGATGTTATCCAATTGATGGCTACAATATTTAACCGTAATAAAATATTACAAATTTGGCTATCTCTGCTCGTCTCTAATCAAATCCATTCGTTAATAATAACTAATCCTTTCTATCAGTGTAGGCACTGTGACTCAATGTCGCAGAATGTGGATCGTAGAATTTACGCTAAATAAGAATTCCAATGGCAACTTGTTTGCCATGATTTTGCGCTCCTTTTCGCAAAATTTTTAGTGGATGATTTTTTTAGCGGGAGCTGATCACTAAATATGGATATCGAGGTGAGACTCACCATGTGGAGACTAGGGACGGACACATCTTGGAGCTGCACAGGATAACTGGACCAAAGTCAAATTCACGACCATTCGGAAAACCAGTCGCTTTACTCATGCATGGTCTGCTGTCTAGCTCGGTCGATTGGCTCATCTCTGGACCTGAAAAAGCATTCGGTAAGTTTTTTCACAGTACTCACTAGCCAGGTTGAAATTTAAATCAGTTTGGAGTTGGAACTATGAATGTTTTTTTTTTGCAAAAGGCGATATGATAAAACTTCACATGCGTGCGTCCCCATCTCCTTCACACGAATCCCAGAAAAAATAGATGGTGCCGGAGATTTTCTTGTACAGGGAGGATAATTTTTGCATCCATAGATATTTTTTTAACCGCACGGAGAGAAATGTTCAGTAAAAATTACGGAACTCACAATTCACTCACCGACTACGGAATTGACTCAGAAAATGTAAGTGACGGTATCATAATTTTTCACAGGAGATTCAGGTAAAAATTACGGAACTCACAATTCACTCACCGACTACGGAATTGACTCAGAAAATGTAAGTGACGGTATCATAATTTTTCACAGGAGATTCAGGTAAAAATTACGGAACGGTCTGGAAAAATTCCGTGACAGTTGCGTAGAATTTCCTACAACCAGATTTCGCTTCGGAATTACGGAAAAGGCACTTAATTTTTATTGAATATTTCTCTCCGTGCGAACGAATTGTAAGATATTCACCGCAATAAGTATTTTTCTGTACTGTTCCTCACGATTTCTCGCCTGGGAATTGGTATTGCAACGCCACACGAGTAAAAAACCCCATCGTAGCAGTCGGAAAAATACTATTTTTTTACTTAGATTTCGCTCCCCGATAACCTTCCGTATAGCAACATTTGCCACGATTTTCTAGACAATTTTTATTAGACGTCTCTCTTTGCGCAGAAATTGCGATTAGTACCGGAATTGGTCCTAATTAAAGATCAGGCAATCCGAGCTAACTCCACCTGTCCCTCGGTTGGATTGTTCCTTTACATATAATTCCTGGCATTAATTATACTTTTCTGTCAGCTTATATACTAGCGGACCAGGGATACGATGTTTGGTTGGGCAATGCCCGTGGGAATCACTACTCCAGGAAACACAAAAAATACTCGATTCTGGACAAAAAGTTCTGGATGTTCAGCTGGCACGAAATCGGAGTAGAGGATCTCCCGGCGATGATTGACTATGTCCAAGGACACACCAAGAAAGACAAGATATTCTACGTAGGACACAGTCAAGGAACGACATCATTCTTCGTGATGTGTTCCGAGAAACCGGAGTACAACGACAAGATCCACGCGATGTTCGCCATGGCGCCTGTCACCTACATGAAGCACATGAGCAGTCCTTTCTTTAAAATCTTGAGTCAGTTCGATAATCTGTTGAATGTAAGTGTCGAGTATTTCAATTCACACTACAGGCGAAGCAACGCCAGAATTAATCATGATAAATCAGATTGATCATTGCACGTGACATTCCAGGGGGCCATGGAAGCTCTCGGCTCTTACGAGTTACAGCCGACGGATGAGTTCCTCAATCGCGTAAAGGCAATCACTTGTGATGCGGAAGCTACTACACAGCCACTCTGCGAAAATATAATGTTCCTCGTTGGAGGATATGGAACAGACCAGATGAATAAAGTATGTTCGAATATTCGTAATTTTACTCTATATAGTAGATAGATAGATAGAATGCGTTTTATTGTACCCTGAGATGCAGAGATCCCCTAAGGGCACTCAGAAATTTACATCGAATATATTTTTGAAGCATCAGAGTCATAATCGGATAAAAAATTCTCTTGAGTAGATTTATCCATCGCATTCAGTTATTTAATTAGTGTTTGCAGAACTTTATTCATTTTTATAATACGAGATCAGCTGCGCGTGCTGCGCACGCGCCTTCTCATCTCCTCACGTAGTGGCGCTTCGGTTTCAGTCTTACGTTTACGCTTATTCGAGATTTTCGAGATATTTCAAGATCGATTTCCTTTTCCCTTTTTATAATAGGATAATTGAATTTGAGCTGTTCGTTTTTCCGCAAATTTATGGAAGGTTCTAGAAACGTCCAGAACGGTACAGAGTCATCTAGAAAATTTGCGAATCATCTAGAAAACTCTCCAATTTTCCGATGCAGAATGTTCCTGACTCTGTTCTAGTAGTCTTTAGAAATTTCACGATTAATCCAGAAACTAACGCTCCGGAAAATCATAGGAGACTCTAGAGAGTTATAAAAAAAACTCCAGACCAACACGATATTTCAGAATATTCAGGAATTTTCTAGCGTTCATCGTCTAAATGGCGATTTCAATGAGAAAAAAGAGAGAGTTTTCATGTTTTCTCAGCGGAAATTCGATACTACTCATTGAATTCAGTTATTTCGCACCGATGAATTTTCCTATATGACAACTATCGAATGCGAGTCAACTATACAGAATACTGAGCAGTATTATCGGCTGTCAGGTACACTGTGAAAAGTTTTCGTCTCAATTTTCCGTGCCAAATCCTGGAAATTTTGATCGTGTTTAATTTCCACTGAAATTTCATGAAATATTGCCATTGAAAAATCAAATATTCCGTTGATTTTCTGTTCGAATGATCTGAAAATTAATAAAATACTTGATTTTTCAGTTAAATCTTGCCGTGAAAATTCAATCAAGTGAAATTTCATAACCATTTTCCCCTAAATCCGATTCATGGGAATTGCTATCATATTTTCAATGAAATTTCAAAAAAATTTCCAACAGTGTAATACCGCTGACTCGGTTTCCATCTTCGTTTTTTAATAATTTTCTGGATTCTACGAGTAATCAGACATTTATAATTGGAGAATATCAAAACGACTATCAGAAGATGACCTCAGAATAGCGCCTTTTACTCCGAGATTAGTTTTGGGTGCGAAAAACATCGTTATTCCCTAGCCGAACAGTACATGTATTCCTACCCCATCCCCAAATATAAGGGATAGTTTTCTGAACACTAAAATCATGATTCCTCCATGCTACTTCCTTTTCATATCTTTTGTGTTCTCTTCATAGACATTGTTGCCAGCCATTTTGGGTCACGTTCCTGCAGGCTCGTCTGCCCGTCAAATGATTCACTACGCGCAACTGATGAAATCAAGTATGTCTCAATTTCGAGGTGGATATTTCACTGCTATAAAACAAAAATCATGATATTCTTATTTTCCAGATGAATTCACACGATATAATCACGGATGGTGGGAGAATTTGAGAAGATACCGGCAATTCTCGCCCCCGAAGTATGATCTTTCCAAAGTTACCGCTCCAGTTGTTCTTCACTACTCTCTCAACGATATTTTCTCCAATGTCAAGGTGAATATTTTTATGAGCCTTTCATAGGAGTCATTATTTTCATGTATTTATCAATATGATGATTGAGGATAATGATGATTTTGATGGATGTTTCAGGACGTCAATCGCCTCGAGCAGCAGTTGCCCAATATCCACTCTAAGCTGAGGGTGCCCAATCCCAAATTTGCGCACTTGGATTATATGTGGGGAGTAGACGCCTATCGACTTCTCTACAATCAAACAGTACTGATAATGGATAGTCTCCACCAAAGATAGGAAACACAGAAACTATAAGGAAAATTATGAACGGATTCGCTTATGTAGTGTTATCAAGTCTTCATGGTCGGTGTTATGTGGCATCCTATTGTGAATTATATTGAATATACCGCATGTAGAATAAAACTTTTTATACTTTTCATTTGTTTTCCGTGTCAATAGATGCCCCGATGATCGAGAAATCGATCATGGATAACAAGTTTATTCGAACGCAGATGTTAATGATCCGTCAGGAATGTTTTCCTTTATTATGTCACGGGCCGTATGCGCAGCTTGCGCGAATATCATGTCACAACATCATTGTTTAACTCTTATCTTGCATTCTTTAGCGATCACAAGGTTATAAAATAAGAGTGATAACGAAATCTTGATAAAGGACAACGGTCGCCCGTTTTTATTATCTGTAGGATATGAGAGATTCCGCATGCGATGTCATCAAGACTTGAGGCTTTTGGTTATCAGACATTCTGATTAATATTGCAATTCTTTTATCGCAGAAATTCGTAGAGGATGAGGGGAACGTAGAGTAAATACGATGTCAATTTGCACTGCGACGTGCAGTGCTGACCTAGGATAAATATCAAAATATGAACAGAAGAAGATTCTTCTCATGCTCTTAATACATCATTCATCCACCTTATCGAGCGCGACTCTGATCGTTTGACATTGACGTACAAACATTCATTAATAAAGAAAATATCGAAGAGGTGCTTCTGTATTTTACACATGTGGGCGGGATCTTTACTTCAGTTTGATAATACAGTCAATTCGGTATTAAGTTAACATAATATTGGGGCTCACATGCGGTGACATTGCCAATATACGAAGATATAAAGCAGCAGGACAGCGCAGTATCTTGTCAGTATTCGCATATTGTTTGTCGCAATGTCGGAAGGAAATTCTTTAGAGAGGGTCTTCTTATTTACCTTGGTATCACTTGCAGTTTTTCATCAAGTCTGTGCTATCGAGGTACCACTTGAACTGCTTGCGGAAATTGAATCTCAAGTGGGTGTTAATTTCACATTCAGTCCAGATGCAACTCTGAATTGTGTGAGTATTCACATAATATGAAGATAATTCCCGGGAAATAGAGAGAAAAAAAAATTGATAGTGTCAAGAGAAAAAATTTAGGCGCATAATCATGAGGACACAGCATATTTATATTAATGGATGAGCGTACACTGTTAGAAATTACTGGAAATTCCAGTCACAGCGTCATCTGAATTTTAAATGTTGTGGGGTTGAATTCAATTTCAAATGGAAACGGCCACAAAATTTCTCATTCATCTTCAAAATTCAAGGAAATAGGGTTTTTCATGTTAAATAATCATTGATTTTTCAATTAAAGCTTGAATTTCCAAACTCGTCGTGAAAAATGAACATTACATACAAGTCAATTTTCAATAGATGCAAAATTTAGAATAGATATGGCCTGAATTTGCAAAATTTTCGAGGTTTTCCAGTGCCGTATGGACCGGAAAATCGAGAATTGCTTGAATATTTACGAAATCAGCTGATTCGTCAATAAAGAAATTTACAGAAATTTCAAGTAGTTTTGCCGGTGTTAAAAATGTCAAGCTTTGTCACTTGAAAGTGCAGGAGTAATTTTCTAACAGTGTATATTTGAGTTAAAATCAAATTAATAAACGTGGAGAAAAAACCACAGGAAAAATGATATGACAAAATATAAAAGTGATCCAAAGAGCTCTTCTAGGATTTTTTATCTAACAACTTGGAAGCAAAAAATGAATTTCTACGATGAACAGGAAATTTAATGAAATTGAATTAAATTAAATTTAAATTCATAACATTAAAGAAAATGCACGTATTACTTGAATTTGGAAAAAATCCTATCAATGTAGAATTTGGTATAGTAGCGTAACACAATGTTTACTGGGAATTCTTGAAATGAACGAAGTAAAAATGCCGGTGAACTCTTATTTTAGACACAACTAATATCAAAATATGGATACCATGGCGAAACTCATCTAGTCACAACTAAGGATGGATACATCCTCGAAGTGCATAGGATAACTGGTCCCAGGTTAAAGCCAAAACCCGAGGGCAAACCTGTGGTTTTTCTTATGCATGGTATATTGTCGAGTTCAGTTGACTGGATTATCTCTGGACCTGGAAAAGCGTTCGGTAAGGAGTCATACAATACCGATGCAGGTCGGAAAATTTGGGCAAAATTACTACATCAATCGAATAATCGTGGAGACCAAGTCACCCGGGGCCAAAGTGTCAGATCGTGGATTTCTTCAAAGGGAAAGTCGGTCAAAGGGTCACAAGGGTCATGACGGCCAAAGTGTTAGATCTTGGATTTTTCCAGGGGGAAAGTAGACTTTTGCNTTTTCCAGAGGGAAAGTCGACTTTCGCCAAAATCGAATTTTTTAGTTGGGCGAGTNAAAAAATTGTTTTTCACCCGGAGCCAAAGGGTTAGATTTTCGGTTTTGCCGGGGGGAAAGTCGACTTTCGCCAAAATCGAATTTTTTAGCCGGGTGAACGTTGATTCCAACTATTTAAGCGACGGGCTATTCAGAACTATCAAAAGTATGTGGAAACAGTGAAAACTGAAAAAAAAATTATTCACCGGGGGCCAAAGTGTCAGATCTTCGATTTTTTCGAGGGGAAAGACGGTCAAAGGGTCACGAGGGCCAAAGGGTCAGATCTTGAATTTTTTCAGGGGGGAAAGTCGACTTTCGCCAAAATCGAATTTTTTAGCCGGGTGAACGTTGATTCCAACTATTTAAGCGACGGGCTATTCAGAACTCTCAAAAGTATGTGGAAAAAGTGAAAACTGAAAAAGTTTTTTTTTCAGATTTTCAAAGGATCGAATTTTCCGTTTTTCCAGGGGCAAGTGGTCTTCCGCCAAAATCGATTTTTTTAGCCGGGTGAACGTTGGTTCCAACTATGTAAGCAACGGGCTATTCAGAACTATCAAAAGTATGTGGAAAAAGTGAAAACTGAAAAAGTTTTTTTCACACCGAGCCAAAGGGTCAGATTTTCGGTTTTTCCAGGGGCAAGTCGACTTTCGCCAAAATCGAATTCAGAACTATCAAAAGTATGTGGAAAAAGTGAAAAATGAAAAAAAAAATTTTTCACCGAAGGCCAAAGTGGCGGATTTTGGATTTTTCCGGGGGGACAGTCGGTCCAAGGGTCACGAGGGTCACAAGGGTCAAAGTGTCAGATGTTGGATTTTTCGCCAAAATCGAATTTTTTAGCCGGGTGAACGTTGATTCCAACTATTTAAGCGACGGGCTATTCAGAACTATCAGCAAACTGATCAAAAGTCAAAATCGACTCAACCCGGTTTACCGCTTCGCTACTGAAATATTATTTAAAAATATTTTTAAGTGTTCTTCAGCCATTCTTTGTCGACCAATTTCTTCAGTATTAACAGTTAATATCAATTAAAATTCAGTAAAATCCATATTAAATTTCTTTAAAAATAGAATATCGTGAAATAACGAAATTGGAATTGAAACGAAATTCTGTGAAAAAAAAATTATGTGGGTTTTGCCAAATTTCAATGGAGATTAACCGTTAATGATGAAAAAATAGTCGAAAATTTTGAGACACAAATCCACACCTGGAATTCGTGAAGCCGCTCATGCACGGAGAGAAATTTTCTAGAAAAATTCTAGTATGAGTACTGGAAAAAATCACAATTCACCGGCTGTGAAAAGTTCTAGTGCTGTTAAGGTAAAATTTCTTGGTATTTCTGATAGNCACCGAGCCAAAGGGTCAGATTTTCGGTTTTTCCAGGGGCAAGTCGACTTCCGCCAAAATCGAATTTTTTGGCGGTCGGCCAGTTTATAATGAATATCTCGAATTTTCATAACGAACTTTTTTGTAGTAAAAATGTAAAATACATTTACATTGTTACTACAAAAAAGTTCGTTATGAAAATTTCATTATTTCCCTTAGATTCGAAGATATTCCTCAAAAACTCAGCTAAGGGCCAAGTCGACTTGAATCGTTTTGCCGCTTTACTATTGAATTACCTTTTGTACAGTGAAATTTGCCGACATTTTCTAGACCCCTTTTTTCCAATTCTCTTCTTCTCTGGCATTAAATTTTTAACCGAAATCTTTCACTGCGCTCAGCGTATATATTAGCAGATCAGGGCTACGATGTTTGGCTGGGGAATGCCCGCGGAAATCACTACAGCCAGGCTCACAATAAATATTCCGTTACTGATAAACAATTCTGGAAGTTCAGTGCGCATGAGATCGGGATTGAGGATCTCCCAGCTATGATTGACTACATCCGAGTATACACGAACAGGGATAAGATATTCTATGTTGGACATAGTCAAGGAACAACGTCATTCTTCATTATGGCTTCTGAGAAGCCAGAGTACAATGATAAACTTATTTCAGTGTCTGCATTAGCACCGATTGCCTATTGTAAGAACATGAAGAGCCCGCTTTTCAAAATGATGGCCCGATTCAAGAAGCTTTTGCATGTAGGTGTCACGTCGTCGCAGTATTCAATCAAACATTCATAAACTAGCATCTAATTAATATTTTGGGATTCTAGAACTCGATGTCAGCCTTTGGTTTCCATGGGATGGATAAATCGTCCAACGATCTGCTGAAAAAAGTTATGTCAATTATATGTCCTGGAGAATTTTCAACTCGCGTCATATGTCAGAATATTCTATTCCTGTTGACAGGGTTCGGTAGTGACCAATTGAACGCAGTAAGTTTGTTTTTGCAATTTTGGTCATATTTCATTTCGATTGAAATTTTTGAGTCCAGAATTTTACAACTGCCCGAGTCGAGGATTTGGTTCTGATTGGACGTACACAGGTCTTTCAAGATCTCTCCAGACCTAGATGGACCTGGTAAGTCCTAATCAGTTCTGCGACGTACTTTTCCAGAGACCATTCGAATCCTCAGTTCTTTTCGGTCCTGAGAAGTCCTCCTCGATGCTACCGAGAACGCGTGATTTTACGAGCGGGTGAAGGGGAAGGCATGTATGCGGAGGGTTGAAATTTGTAGCCAACGAGGAGACAGGGTTGCAGAATATATTTTAGCCACCCTCATCTCCCCGTTTGCAGG